GGTCGCGTGCGCCTTGCCGCGGAACTGCGCACAAGATCTGCGCTCAGCGCTTCGGATCAACACCTCCTTTCGACTTGTAACGCTTCTCTAGTCCCGTCTCATCTGGATGGCTTTTTCTTTGTTGCAGCCTTGGCTAATCCTCCTCTCCCAGAAAGCCAACGTATCTAATACCTGGTGACCTCTCCTCTCTGTTGCAGCCTGCAAGCTAAACCTCCTCTCTCAGTTAGCTAACACATCTAACACTCTACGGCTTCTCCTCTGTTCATTCCCTAGAATCCTAGATAATCCTCTGCTACAACTTGTAGTACAAGGAAGCCATGTGAAGTTTGCTGACCTCTCTCCTCTGTTGTAGATGTGGCAGATGTACTCATAGCGGCGCATCGTGATGTTGGACCCGTCGTCGAGCGAGGAGGAGAGTGACAATGAGACGCTCGAGGGCGAGGACGGCTCCGAGACGGTGAGTCTCGGCGTGCCGACGCAGCAGGGCTCGCGCAGTCACTCGCCGGCGAGCGACACGCTCAGCCTCGGGCCGGGCTCGCGGCCGCCGAACGTCGTGCGCCCCTCGAGTCCGAGCCCGTCGATTGTCAGCGAGAAGGAGCGCAAGGACGACGCGGAGCGCGCCGAGCGCGAGAAGGAGGAGCAGAAGCGGCGGCTGCAGATCTACGTGTTTGTGTCGCGCTGCATCGCGTACCCGTTCAACGCGAAGCAGCCGACCGACATGACGCGGCGGCAGGCGAAGATCACGCGCGCCAACCTCGCGCAGACCAAGGAGCGCTACCAGGCGTTCCTCAACGGCGAGACGCAGATCGTCGCCGACGAGGCGTTCACGAACGCCGTGCAGAGCTACCACGAGGTGTTCCTCAAGAGCGACCGCATCACAAAGATGGTCGCGTCCGGCGGCTGCTCGGCGAACGACTTCCGCGAGGTGTTCAAGAACAACATTGAGAAGCGAGTGCGCAGCCTGCCGGAGATCGATGGCCTCAGCAAGGAGACGGTGCTCAGCTCGTGGATGGCGAAGTTCGACCAGATCTTCCGCGGCGAGGACGACCCGCGCAAGCCGTCGCGCGCGCAGCAGAGCACCGCCTCCGAACTGATACTCAGCAAGGAGCAGCTGTACGACATGTTCCAGGCGATACTCGGAGTGAAGAAGTTTGAGCACCAGCTGCTGTACAACGCACTGCAGGTAAGCGAGAGCGTGTTGCATCGCGCGAGATTGCGGTTCGCTGCTCTGTACTGCATTGCTGGTCCCACAAATGTTGCATTACGATGCCTTGCAGGCAGGTGCATCATAGAAGCATACATGTGCGATATGACATCAGCTGATATATATAGCATTTTGAATGCAGGCGTGCATGGATGATGTACAATTCTTGGCAGGTACGCTTGCGCACATACTGTACAGGATTGGAGCACAGATAAGCATGCGTAGGTAGTGTACAATGCATCACAAATAAACGTGCGTATAGGTACTGTACAATGTGTTGCAGGCAAGCATGCGTAGGGACTGCACAATGCAGGGGTCGAAATAAGCGATGGTCCGATGCTCCGGGGCCAGCAAATAATCAGGTGGACCATCAGATTTTCAAAGTCGATGGTCCGACGGACCATTCAATATTTTGGTTTATTCAAGTTTCCACGTTCCAATATACTATTAAAGTGTTACGTAGGTGAATAATTAAGCCATTTTATCACCAAGTAAAATCTCTTTCTCACGCTTGAATGCCGCATTACTTTTAGAGAACAATTTGAAATTTAGGACTATCTAAATTTCAAACTAGATGGTCCTGTGGACCATTTTTGTTCTCCTTATTTCTACCCAGGCTGGTAATGCATTTACAGGTCAGGAGTCCATAATAGAAAAAGAGTATGACCAGGGCCTAATCTATTGGCACCCGTGGCAAGCGTAGTGAGCGTAAAAATATTATATATATATATACATATATCCATATATACAGGGTTCTCCAAGCTTTTGCATTATAGCATGGGGGTGCTGCTTTTACGGTCCTAGTTGCAAATCGCCGAAGGCAGTTTGCATGCTAGGGGGGTCCGGGGGCTATGATATTTAGCATGGCGGCTATGATATTTAGAGTGGCGGGTGCATTTTAGATGGCGGGGCTCGACGATAGCCTGGCGGGCCGCCATGCTATACGTGCTCTTGGAGAACCCTGATATATATACAGGCTATCATTTTTAAGGGGCGCGATCGCGCTCGCGCTCCACCGCGCACCCGAAATTGTGCCATGGTGCGCGCATCATCGCGCCTCATAAAAGTGGTTGAAATCGCGCACCAAAAGTATGTCTATTATGTTGAAATATAGCGCTTCATAGAGTTCTCAATGTAGGGGGGTACAAAAAGGTTAGCAACACACAACAATTTGTGGTGTGTAAGTAACTGAACGTATGGCAGGGGTACTAGTCTGGTTACTACCCTCTGGTTTATATATATATATATAAATACAACTAAACAACAGCATCCAAATACAGGTACCTATACGGTAGCCACAAGTTACCTGCTCGTTTTATACTATACGTGACGAGAAGTGGTTTTCTGCCAACGTGAAAAAGTCGTAGGATGGAGGGGCTCATAGTTGGCGTACTGACGTACAAGTACATTTGTGTGTTTGTTGATGGAATTGTGATGATTTTTGTGCTGAAGAATATCAGGTACATGGATTAGAATCTCTAAGATGAGAAATCAGAACTAATAAAACAAAGTTTTATTTTGACATCCAATCAACTCTTTTATTAATCTGGTGCTGCTTAGTTGTTGGGTTGTTGGATGAAAGAGATGTAATCCTGCAAAGCCATTGAATAAACTGAAGGGTGAAGATTGATGATAGATCAGTAGTATTGACAATATGTACATCCCACAATTTTTCGTTTTGGATTTCACCTCTAGACGTGAGGCATTGGTCATGATTCACTCATCAGCACCCAGAGGCATGATGGAGAGCCTCAAGGAGCTGCTCCATATCGTTTTAAAAGTGTGATTTTTAGTGAGCTCGTCCAATCTGCCTCTTTAAGGGTGTGAAATTTTTTTAGTGGAGCTCTCCATCATGCCTGGTTAAAGGGTGTGATTATGGAGCGTGAAAAGTCCCCCTATGGTGTCCTAGGGGAGTCATTAGTAGTCCTCCTGTACTTTTCAAATCTGAAAGCCTGTATATATACAAGTATCTATCACATTAAATTGGGCGTTTGGTCGACACATTTTATTCAGATAATAGATTATAGATGTTATATATGAGCATTTTATTATAAAACAGTGTCTACGTAACGATAGAAACATGGAGATCTGGGGCGCGTTTCACGAACGTCCGTTCGCTATTTTCTCTGCTATCTCCTCCACTAACTCCCGAGTTGTCCGTTAAATAGCGGAGGACACGTTCACCGAACCGCTAAAGTCGCTCGCTATTTACCGCATTTTAGCAGGCAACTTTAGCGGGAGCTCTGCACATCACGCTTAAGTTTAAAAAGTCAAGATGTGTAAACGGAGGGGGAATATTTCCCCCTTAACTTAAGGTATAGGAGGAAATACGGAATTGCAGCACAAATCTGAACGGCTCGGCCTAGATGCTCTTTATATTCGGTGTATAGTGTGATGGGCAGGAAACCCATCACCAGTGCGAAATTGGAGGTCACAGGTCAAAGGGCAGTGGGGGCACTGTACCGTCAGATACAGACATTTTCTGAGGACATGGCCTAACGGACAGAGTGAAAAACTTTTTTGTTTCAGCACTGACCTACCATTTTTATCACTTTATATCCGCCACCACGGGAGCAGCGTACACGTGCAACGCATGATGACAGGGATGAGGGAGGTGGAGGAGGAGGAGGAGGTAGATGAGGAGGAGGAGGAGGAGGATCCACGGTCAGGTGTGCACCACCGCGGGAGCAGCGTACACGTGCAACGCACGATGACAGGGATGAGGGAGGAGGAGGAGGAGGAGGAGGAGGAGGAGGAGGAGGATCCACGGTCAGGTCTGCACCACCGCGGGAGCAGCGTACACGTACAATGCACGATGACAGGGATGAGGGAGGAGGAGGAGGAGGAGGAGGAAGAGGAGGTGGAAGAGGAGGAGGAGGATCCACGGTCAGGTCTGCACCACCGCAGGAGCAGCGTACACGTACAACGCACGATGACAGGGATGAGGGATGAGGGAGGAGGAGGAGGAGGAGGAGGAAGAGGAGGTGGAAGAGGAGGAGGAGGATCCACGGTCAGGTCTGCACCACCGCAGGAGCAGCGTACACGTACAACGCACGATGACAGGGATGAGGGATGAGGGAGGAGGAGGAGGAGGAGGAGGAGGATGAGGATGAGGATGAGGATGGAGGAGGGAGGAGGGAGAAGGGAGGAGAGAGGAGAGAGGAGGGAGGAGGAGGAGGATCCTCGGTCAGGTCTGCACCACTGCGGGAGCAGCGTACACGTACAACGCACTATGACAGGGATGAGGGAGGTGGAGGAGAAGGAGGAGGAGGAGGAGGAGGAGGAGGAGGAGGAGGAGCATCCACGGTCAGCTCTGCACCACCGCGGATCATGTGTTTTGTCCGTGCGCATTGAGGGGGACGTGATGGCATGGCGGTGAACTTTGGGTGCGTATTGATGAGCGTGTGAGACTAATGGGAATCTGTTGACGGTCAGCACACCGGCAGCCCCATGTCACCACGCCGACATAAATAAGTTAGTGCATCGTGGCCGCCGCCGCCGCCTCCGAACGACGCTCGGGCAGCTATCCGCCCCCCCCCCCCCGAGCGGGCAAGAGAGTTGCAATTACGGCTAGAATTAATTAGTCAAATGGCTTATATAGCAGTGTCCGCGCACTGATCCCCCAGCTACTGGGGAGCCAATATGTGTTAATGCCGCGTGCGGCTACTGTGGGCGCGTGCAATTAGTCATATTAACAGCCGGCCGCGGATAATCGCGTTGATGCGCGTTGGGTAATGTTATGCGCTCGGCACATGCCAACAACACCTGCGACGACATCACAGACAAAACCTCTGGGACAGGCAGGGGCGGGGGGGGTGGGGGATCACCGCGCGCGCGATGCCGTTTCACGTTTGAGACGGATGCAGATAAAGGGGGGGAGGCGATTGAAATGGTAGATGGATGTGGAGAACTTAAGGGGGCGATATTTGAAGTGAAAGCCAGGCCGTGCATGTAGTGCGCAGCAGCAGTAGTACACAGCAGTAGTACACAGCGCGATGTGATTGCCACGGTCGGGTGCATAGGCCGATGCCAGCCAACGAGCCGCAGCCGGTGAGGGCGCTCACATCTGGCGGCCCGGAGTGGAGGCAGGCCGCGAATATGCGTACGCGAGCTGCGGTAAGGTGTCCGCACGCGAAACCCTATTTGGATGGGTGTGCACGTGTGCAACGCTGGAATGCTGGTGGCCGCATGTCAGCTGATCGAGCTGCGGCCGTGGACGCGGAACGCTGACAATGGGCCATAAAGGCGCGATTAGGTATGCGGGGAGGGGGGGGGCGACTACGCTGGCAGGTGATATCTCCACACGCGGCGGTGATCATTCTCCGGTCGTTCGCGTCCAGAACCTCGCGGGCTTTCGGCGTCTCGATTGTGCGACGATCGTCCTCCTGCTGGGGCAGATACGTAGCCCTATTCCCCTCACCCTCGGCTGCCTTCGTCTGTACTCCTCCTCTCCCTCCCGCGTCTTCCCGCAGCGTCGTGTAGAGTACTGCGGTGTGTTTCCTATGCGGGGGAAGAAGAAGCACGGCTTGCGGCACGCCGTGCGGGGAAGCTGTCACGTTAGGTGACACCCGGCGACGTGGCAGTGAGGGGAAAGTGATAGGATGTGTCGCCTGCGGCGGCGTGGGCATGCCGCGAGCGAGTCGTGGTGGGGATGCATCCCTGGCGACATCTACCACACCACCCGGCACGGCCGGACGAGTGTGTGGTTAAGCTCTAGGTTCGGTTGGGATGGGCGCGAACACCATAGATGAATATTATGATGTAGGGTGCGCTGAGATGGGCTAAAAGCAGGTCCAGGTGCTGTGTGGCGCCAAGTTGGGTCGAGGCTGTCGTTCTTGCAGCGTGTCGGTAATTCTAGCGCGGTCAATTGGGTTGGTTGGAAGTGAGTCTGCACAGGATATGAGCGTCCAGACGGGTACATGCAAGTTAGGGACGCGGTGTAGGAGTAAGATAGAGATGGAGGCATTGTGATGTCTCTATAGGCCTGCGGCATACTGTACTTGTCATTCTTATGTCAGATCTGGTGTCCGTTGGGGAAAAGGCGAATGATTACAAGAAGAATGTTTATCTTTATAGCTCGTAAGCTATTTCTTGCGGTTTATGGCTTGTGCGTGCGGCTCTGCTGAGTAGCGTCGTGTGATAGTGCTCGCAGTTTCGTGTGGTCTCAGTACGGTGAGGGCCTGTTGGTGCATGCTTAGTG